ACGCAATGGCTCCAGGGAAAGAAATTCACATCGAATGAGGAAGTCATCGCGGAAACCGAGGCATATTTCGAAGGCTTGGACATTTCGTACTACAGAAAGGGCATCGAAATGTTGGAAAATCGCTATACCAAGTGTATCGCACTCGAAGGCAACTATGTTAAGGAATAAATATAACTTTGTCCAAAAAACGCTTGTTTTCATTAAAAATCCCAGGACTTTTCAGCCCATGTAGTAGACATTCAGTAACTTTTATAATCCTGCTGGCTTGCAGTGCATATGTCCAGTGATACATCCACTTATATTTTCAGCTTATAGAGGGTATAGAAGTTGTCCTGAGATAACTTCTTTTTGAATCTACGAGTTTTAATTTTTTTGTTGATAAGGTTACTAGCCAGCGCATTTGGGTGAGCTGTTAGTCTGAGTTTATAAGCTTTTGTGCAGCTTATTATTTCTTCCCTGACAGTAGGAATAATTAGGTCTCGGGGCATATATTATATATCAGAGTGCGTTTGTACTTATCCTAAGCGTTTGTGTTTATCCTAAGCATTTTGGCTTGGAATCGCTGAATTATCTCTATATTGGAGTGGGAAGCCACGCCCCATAGTTAGATCCCATATGTCCAAATCGGTTTGATTATAGCCTTATATAGGAGTAATTTTTTGTCCATGTTTAACTGAGATTTACGCCCGATTATTCAGTACATCTTATGCAACTGGAGTCCAAGCTGTTTTCTTTTGTTAATGATATACTTCATCCAAGTAAGGCGTCTGTCCAAGTGTGGCCCCAAATACTTGACATCGTTAGCTTGAAGTACACTGACGTTGTTCAACGTGATAGGAGAGCATGTTTCCTGCCTTGTAATAAAGGTGACACGTATCGATTTACATTCGTTTGCTTTTATTTTCCATCTTTTAAGTCAAAGAGCTATTTCGTCAAGATAGGAGGATGCCGAAAGCATTAAATGGATTTTCGTGCGAAACCATGATCGCTGTGTCATCAGCGAATGTCCCAGTCAGGGCAACTTTGTTAGAAGGTAAGTCGGCAGTAAAAATTAAGTATAAAACTGAGCCCAGAACATTACCTTGTGGGACATCGGCTCTTATCTATTTGAAGTGTGTTTATTCATCATTTACCTTCACAAAAAAGTGGCGATACATAGGATATGACCTTAGAATGTACGAAATGATATCAGGGAAATGTGTTCTAATCTTGTATATCAACCCCTCGTGCCTCAGACTCGATCAAAGCCGTGGGATATGTCCAGAAAGGCGGCTGAAAATATTCCCCTCCTTTCAAAAATCGCGTATATTTTTGCAATTAATCTATACGAGGTCTGTTCAAAAAGTATCGCGAATTTTGAATTTCCGCGGGTTACGTATATTCGATTTTCGATTTTTTTGTGGCATTATGTTGGTACTCATGTCCCTCTCTTATGCCGACAAGTTCGGCTATTTTGAATATTCAATTTATCTTTGACAGCTGTTTTGTTTGGACGTGTTTTGGCTCATCTTCGATTTTTGCCTATTCCAAAAAATGGATCAAAGAATCTGTATCAAATTTTGTCTGAAAAACAAAATTAAGTGCGCGGACGCATTCCGAATGTTGACTGTGGCATATGGTGAAGCTACCTTGGACCGAAGCAACGTTTATCGGTGGTACAAAATGTTCTCAGAGGGTCGAGAAGATGTGAACGACGAAGAGCGTGCCGGACGCCCGAGCACGTCAACAACAGACGAAAACATTGATGAAGTGAAGAAAATAGTATTGGCCAATCGTCGAATCACCGTTAGAGAAGTTGCTGAGGACCTAAACATATCGATTGGCTCGTGCCATTCGATTTTTACTAATGATTTGGGCATGAGACGGGTTGCCGCGAAATTCGTACCAAAATTGCTCAATTTCGACCAAAAACAGCATCGCATTAACATTGCTGGGGAGCAGTTGGACTCTGTCCGCGACGACCCAAATTTGCTCCAGAGGGTCATAACTGGTGACGAATCATGGGTTTATGGTTATGACGTGCAAACCAAAGCTCAATCATCCCAGTGGAAGCTGCCGCAAGAGTCAAAACCGAAAAAAGCGCGCCAAGTTCGATCGAATGTGAAGGTTTTGCTTACAGTATTCTTCGATTGCAGGGGCGTGGTGCATCATGAGTTCTTGCCACAGGGTAGAACGGTCAATAAGGAATATAACCTGCAAGTTATGCGCAATTTGCACGAAGCAATCCGCCAGAAACGCCCAGATTTGTGGAAGAAAAAAATTGGCTTTTGCACCATGATAACGCCCCTGCTCACACATCGTTGCTTGTGCGCGAATTTTTGGCCAAAAACAACACACTAACCGCAGCCACCGTATTCCCTAGACCTGGCCCCCTGTGACTTTTTCTTGTTCCCGAAACTGAAGAGGCACATGAAAAAACGACGCTACGCTACTATTGAGGAGATAAAGACGGCATCGAAGGAGGAGCTGAACAAGATCAGAAAAAAAAATTTTTTGAAGTGCTCCGAGGATTGGAAAAGACGTTGGCACAAGTGTATAATATCTGATGGGGATTACTTTGGAGGAGACAAAATAGATATTCAGGAATAAATAAATAATTTTTGAAAAACACAAAATTCGCGATACTTTTTGAACAGACATCGTACACCGATTGTCCGATGTTTCGAGCGGAAACCAAACTCGTGATATAGAATGAGATTTCTCTTATTGATAAGAGGCTTAAGCCTATGTAAGAACAGAGTCTCGAATACTTTGGATGGAATTGGTAATAGGTCTACCAGGTGTAGAAGTATGATACCGGAATTTCCCTATAGATGGTGCTAGCCATCAGTTTAGGGACCGTAAGACCGCTTCTGCAGCGCCATTATCTCCCTCTAACAGCTGACGAAGATTTTCAACACACAACAACCCAAGTTCCATACACCGGTATATTTTTCTATAACTTTAAACATGTCGAGTTTTGTGCCTACGAACTACGATTTGCGGATAGCATTGGTTTTTTTGTTATCATTTGAAGAAAACTGCTGCAAAATCGCATCGAATGCTTGTCGAAGCTTACGGTGAACATGCTCTTGGTAAAACAGTGTTTCAAGTGGTTCAAAAAATTCAAAAGTGGTGATTTTGACGTGAGAAACGAAGAGCGTGGGAAACCACCGAGAAAGTTCGCAGACAACGAATTGCAAGCCTTATGGGATGAAGATGATACTCAAACTCAAGAAGAACTCGCGGATGAATTGAATGTGACTCAGAAAGCTGTCTCAATTCGTTTGAAAGCCATGGGAAAGATTCAGAAAGTGGGAAAATTGGTTCCGCATGATCTGAATGAAAGACAGCAAGAAAATTGAAAAACCACTGGTGAAATGTTGCTCGACAGATACAAAAGAAAGTCCACCGTATCATGACAGGTGATGAAAAATAGATATATTTTAAGAATCCTAAGCGTCATAAATCATGGGTGAATTCAGGCGAATTATCGACATCCACTGCAAGATCAAATCGTTTTGGAAAGAAGACAATGCTCTGTGTTTGGTGGGATCAGAAGGGTATAATCTATTGATATATATGAGCTGCTAAAACCTGGTGAAACCGTTAACACTGATCGCTACCAACCGTTAACACTGATCGCTACTAACAGCAAATGATCGATTTAAATCGGGCATTGCGTGAAAAACGACCGGAATATGGAAAAAGGCAACACAAAGTCATTTTGCTCCGTGATAATGCCCCATCACACACAGCAAAACCGGTCAGGGAAACGATCGAAACGTTCAGTTGAGAAATATTAACGCATGCGGCTTATTCTCTAGACTTGGCTCCGTCCGATTATTATCTATTCGCATCAATGGGACACGCTCTCGCTGAACAACGCTTCAATTTGTATGAAAATGTACGGAAATGGCTCGAAAGCTGATTCGCTTCAAAAGAAGAAATGTTTTTTTGGCGTGGCATTCATAAACTGCCGGAGAGTTGGGAAAAATGTGTAAATAGCAATGGACATTATTTTGAATAAAATATTTTTTATCATTGTCAAACAACAGACGTGTAATTTTTACAAAAAATTCCGGTTTCATACTTGTACACCTGGTATACAAATTAGAATCCTCAGGAGCCTTTCCAGGCTAAAAAATAATTCTAACTTGGGCGACTTTCCACTGCAGGTGGCACTATTTTGATTCTTAAAATCGCATTAAATAACTGAGTCAAGTACGTGAAGCCCACATCAGGTAATTCTTTGAGTATATATCCAATGACAAGGTCATATTCTAGGCCTTTTTTGGAATCTAGTTTTTTAATAACTTCCTATATCAGATTTTAAAAAATTTCTAAGCCTTAGTCAGTTAGTAGGAACAAGGGTAAGTCAAGCGTATCCTCAATGAACTTTGTCTGTTCCTCATAACAGGGATGCGGCGAGAAAACCTTGGTTAAGTGGTCGGCAAATATATTTACCTTTTATTAATCATTCTGCGTCCATCCACCATTTGCGTTGCGCAGAGGAGCAGACCCAATTCTAAATTGTTTTAGTCTTCTTGTAGCTCTCCACAAAGAGTAGTCAGTAGAGGCTGTAGTATCAATCCTGTAAAGATAAGACTGAACACTGGGTTTTTTCTCAATTTCAAGAAGCTTTTTCAGTTCCTTAATAGTGTCGTTAAGCCGAATCTTTGTGCAAGGACATCTAGTCTTTTGTCATAGTTTTTGCAACCTTCCTTTTTCAACGACCATGTCATTGACTTTTTAGAAAAGGTGATAGTGTAGTTTTTTTATTTACTTGTTGGTGTTGAGTCCCAGGCCGCTCTCTGCACAGTCATATTAATGTATTCCACTGCGCCTATAATATCTTCTTCGGTCTTTAATCTAACGTTAGCATTTAGAGTATTCCCAAGAAGTTTTCGAAAGGTATTCTAATTAGTTCTCTTGTTGTGAAGCGTATAGTTTTCTGCTTTCAAAATTATCTCGCTAGTCAAGGCCACTAAAACAGAACAGGCCACTGAATCATCTGATATAATATCTAAACAAGTTTCGCTTTTGAGGCGGTTTTTGTTGATGCCTTTTATCACGCAGAAATCAATAAGGTCAGAAATTTTACATCTATCTGACGGCCAATAGGTTGGATTATTTGAAGATATGACGTCGAGACCCAGGGTTACGACACAATTGTGAAGTTAACGGCCTTTTGTTGTTGTGATCTTAGAACTCCAGAACGTATTCTTTGCGTTGTAATGGCTGCCGGCGATAAAATGATTACCTAAAGTTTTGAAAATGCCAACAAAGAAATCCTTCTTGATGTTATGCTTGGGAGGACAGTAGATCGCCGTGATAGTTATAGATCAATCTTCCACGATAACGGATGAAGCTATTGATAACGGATGAATTTTTTCAGAGCAGAATGGACTTATTAGGCAGTGCTTGATTTTATTTTAAATGAGGTTTGCAGTGCCTACATGAGCGGTCCCATCAGGAATGCATATATTATTAGCTCATTTTATTTGCTTCTTTTCGACCGCAAATTTATTTTTTTTATGCAATTGATTACATTACATACAGAAATTAATGAGATGCGTCAGTATTACAATGCCGGTTATCGATTTTCCTATTAACGATAGAATCAACTGTAGTAGTCAATGTGATTAGGTAAGCGTTCTTTAGTAAAACTTACTGCACTGAAGAGTTTCAAGGAAAACGGACTGAACTTTCCCGCTGTCAATTTGAACGATACATTCGCTTGCATCATGACAATTGTCAAAGATACTGCTTTCTTCGGAGGTAAATCATACCATTCGCAATCGTATGCCGATTGAGTAACGCTTAAACTCTAAATAATAAGAAAATTAGCGATAATGAATGAATAGTAAAAATGAGAAAAATTGAATGATTATTTGATGCTAGTTTTTTACTGACGAAGAGACGGTTCCTTAAATTTGACCAAAAATTGCATCCAAAAAAAGAAATTTATTATTATGATAAAGATTAAATTTCGCGGCATATAGTTTGTACCTAAGAGACACGCTTACCTCAGTGAGAAGCTGTTCGCCAATATAACAATAAAAGAAGAAATGTGTTATCACGTGAATTACGTGTACAATGTAGAATATTATATCAGCTCCCACCTGGCCTTCATTTATCGTCTATAATTACAAATTATAAGTATAGCTGTAATACCATAGCATTAACATTTAAACAAATATTTCATATCCAGTTGCGAATAATCTTTAGATCAAGTGATTTATTCTATCTGACTCACTGTAACCAAACGATATCCGGTCATACAGAGCATCGATGTACTGATCATCGTTTGCACAAGCAGAGTAATATTAAAATAATCCTCGATGACAGTAGCATACCTTAAATCAAGTCAAAGTTAACGAACAATTCGCAACATCACTTTATATGTTTCAATCTCAAACTGGATCCTTATTGGTATGAAAAACATAGAGACACAGTAAATTGCAAATATTGTTGTAAGTAAATCCATCCAACGCTTGACTCTAATAACTCCCTTCCCCCCTCCCTCGTTTCGTTTTGATTGAATGTCTAAATGCCTTTTGTTTTGAATTTCTGTTGTCTGTTCTGACCAAATGAAAACTCTGGTCGAAAAATTTCTGTAGGAAATTTCTACTTGGTTAATTATTCTCAATTATACCGAGTCAACATTTTGATGCTATTTTGACACTGTTAAGGATAGTTTGCGCTTATATAGGCTTACTAATAAAAATTTATTTTGACAATACTAATATTTATTTATATTTCTTTTTTAAACTTTTAATTTTACGTATTTAATTTTAATGTTTTCTTGAACAACATATTTTGACCAAAACAGCGAAAACAGAAATTTGAGATATTGTCAGAGTCAAAATAGAAGTAAATTATATTATTATAACTGAATTTATGAACCTTTTGCTATATTAACTGCTAGCCGTATTGCAGAATTAAAAGTTTAATATAAAGCCAAAGTTTTGACCCGAGATCTTATCTACAGTCAGTTGCATAAAAGCGTGTTATTCATAATTCTATTAATAGATATTGTATGAGTAAAATTTTTGGATGTTAATGTTGGCAATACATTGGACATAAACTGCTTTGAAAGTTAAGTTTCAGTTTAGTTTAATTATTGTGTTACAACCGGATATAAACAAAATGAATGCGATGTACTCTAGTCGTTTGAAGCAGTATTTTTATATAGTCACATAAAGGAATCAAAATTATCGTTGCAACTGCTGTCCATTACATGAGAAAATCTCAGCAGTTTGTCACGAAGTGAAATGTTATAAAGAGACGAAATATGTCGACAATCTGTCTGAAAGTGGTCGGCAGCGTTCTACCTCAGAAGAAGACGATAAAGTAGTATCAAGGTTTTTAAGGAAAACCCAATTTGCACCTTACGTCAAGTTCAGGAAATATTGTCCAAAAAGAGTATAGATATATATCTGAGAACGATTAAACGTCGATTACTTGCTTTTAGTTATTGCCAGCGAAGTACAAGATTCAAACCGTTTTTCGAGCTATTGCACGTAGAAAAATATCTACAGTGGGCTAAAGCTAGTATCGATTGTGATTATTCTAATGTAATCTTTATCGACGAAGCTTCCTGTTAAACGTGGGTTCTTAGAACATATGGGTGGTCGATTCGTGCAAATTCGTTAGTTCAGCGCATTGTAAAGTATTCAATTAAAATGCACCTATAGTGATGCTTCTGTAAACAAAATTTTGGAGTTTTGTACGTGCTCATAGATAAACTCAATACAGAAGGAATGATAAAAATTTATTAATGAGGTTTATTGAAGTCTGCTAGGAAATGGTTTGGCCCCAATATCAACTTGTGGGTATTCCAAGAAAATAATAACTTCTAACATCGAAGCCGTGCCTACACGACATGTAAACATGAAAATGGCATTACTACGATGGATTGGCTTTCACAGTCTTTTGATGCTAACCCGATCGAAAATATGTGAACTGCTATGAAAATCAAGATGAGGGAAAAACGTGTCTTTACTTTAATACAATTAATGTATTAATTACGTTCGATCTGGAAGTCACTTCCCGTAACTTTGGCGAGAACCTCGTAGAAAGCATGCCTCGACGTTGCCAAGCCATAATTGACAATGGAGGAGACTGGACGATGTATTAGGTAAATGCATTGAAGCGTATATAATAAATTTCAAGGTCATATATGTATTTTTAAAAATCTTTTCTTTTCTAGGAGAAATAGCTAACACGCGCTTGCACCACTGACTGTAAGTTTTCACGCAAACGAACATTTAGACAAATATTTTCGGTAGTAATAAGAGAGATATCGTTCCTGGTTGTCAAGTTCTCGTCTGGTTCCCGTTCATTTATACGAATTGAGATTTTCTGCGGCTAAAACTGTGCAGCAAAAAAAATTACGGAGCAAACCTGTAAAGTTCTTTGTGCCTATTCACGATAAAACCCAGTCTTTCTTGGAACTTAGCAAAGTTGTCAGGCCGGGTTGCATTCACCAAGCTGTTCAAATTTATCTTCAGCACCGCCAATTGACCGCACAGGTGCAGTGTCAGTACTGCCACAAACGAGTCGAAGCACGAGTAACAAATAGTTGTGATAATCGCGCCCATAGTCTCGCCGAACCACGTAAGCTCGAAATTGGGACTTTTCTTGTAGTTGTATGGGAAGAAGCTTGGGAACGGCAAACTATAGAGTTCTTCAAATTGCATATTGTTCCAAATCGACATCAATGTAAAAGCGGTTAACAAGAGATACGTGACTGTCGAGCCCAAAATAGATATTAAGTGACTTCTCTTGGCGTTTCGCATCATCGCCTGCCTTTCTGCTTCCGGTATTGGTCGCGTCCAGTCGTTCAATATTTGGCCAACCAATAACGTCAAAGCTTGGAAAAAATCTCTATTTGATACACACTTTTATTTGCTGCTTACAACATAACGCGTCTTAATAAAATATTAATGAAATTTATGTAATATCGTAATTAATTTTAAACGATAAAAAAAGTTGTGTAAAATGTAATACATTTCACACGTCCTAAATAGTCCACATCAATTTTTAATAAGTGTTAATTTAATATAAAGTAAATATGTTGTAAATTACCATTAATATTAAGTAAAAAATGAACACAAAATTAATATCTATAATATATTAATTAACATTGAAGTATAAAATATATTATTTTAACACTTATGTGTTACGAATATCGGCTCAAGAAAAATATTAAAATAACATAAACACAATATGTTAAATTAACACACAAATATGTTAAAAATTTAACACAAATATTTTAACAAAAATTGATTTTAACATAAGTACAAAATGCTTTTTACTGTACTCCTATAAAAGGGTTATATATTATATATCATATTTATAAACATTTAACACGGATTTCTCGATTTATCTTTGTATTATATAAACTATTATTTTTCTAACAGTATTGCAATGGGCCTAGTCAGCTACTTTAAAAGGATTTCATAANTTATACACATTGATCTTACATAAATGTTAATGTGATATCAATGCGAATACAATGAATGTATCCTACTTTATTTTATCATATTTAAATGAAAATCTTATAAAGATATATACAAAATTTTCTGCCAAATTTTCCGTATCTTTTCAGAAATTGATTACAAAGTTATATAAAAATAGTTCTTTAAAACATTTTTGATTGGAGCCTTGATATATTTGGTATATACAAACAGCAGGATTTCTGTATCAGTTAAATGTTTACGTTTCAATTTTCAAATATTTATTGTTTTCATCACACATTGAGCAATCATGTATTGAGTAATACTCAAATTCAATCTTGTACCTATTTTCACCGTACAAAAACATTTATAATTTTTTATAACCAATATGATATAAATTTTTCAAAAGAAAGTCCGTATTTTTACGTCAAAGTTTTTACATATGGCGTCCCTTTAACGGATTCATTGTAACACTGATTTCCAATGATTATTTCAATGCTCAACTCAAGTTTGAATCAGCAAACTGCTAAATGAATGCAACTTGCGACACATACGAGGGTTGCTACTTATATTTCTGGCCTAATAATGAAAATACAAATATTTATGATCGAAATTGGTTTTATTATTTTTCAAAATATTCACCATGATGATCAATACACTTTTGCATGTGTTCGAACCAATTTTCGAAACACTTTTTCCACTCCGATTGAGGTAACTGCAAAACATGCGTTTTGAATGCATCAACCGCTTCTTCGGGTGTCGAAAATCGTTGACCACGTGATTTATTTTTGATAAGCGAGAAAAAAAAAGTCATTTGGTGCCAAATCAGGGCTGTACGGCGGATGACACATCAATTCNTTGCTACTTATATTTCTGGCCTAATAATGAAAAAATCAAATATTTATGATCGAAATTGGTTTTATTGTTTTTCAAAATATTCTTCATGATGATCAATACACTTTTGCATGCGTTTGAACCAATTTTCGAAGCACTTTTTCCACTCCGATTGAGGTAACTGCAAAACATGCGTTTTGAATGCATCAACCGCTTCTTCGGGTGTCGAAAATCGTTGACCACGTGATTTATTTTTGATAAGCGAGAAAAAAAAAGTCATTTGGTGCCAAATCAGGGCTGTACGGCGGATGACACATCAATTCGATGTTTTGGCCGGCTAAAAATTCCTTTTTTGACCCGATGTGTGAGGGTTCGCATTGTCATGATGAAGAATGATTCGCCTCTTCTTCTGCTTTTCTCGAATTTCTCCGATGACTTCTGGCAAACAAATGGTCGTGTACCATTCAGAATTGACCGTCCTACGGTGCTCTAACGCCACTGTCGCCACGTGACCGGTAATGCCGAAGAAACAGGCAACCATTTGCTTCGATGTGCTTCTTCTGCGTACAACTTTTGTTGGATTTGACTAGTCTTGGAAGACCCATACAGTCGATTGCTGTTTTGTTTCGGACTCATATGCATAGATCTATGATTCGTCACCTGTGTAGATGTTATACACAGCCTTTGATACACATTGAATGTATTTTTTTAACATTTCCATGCACCAATCAACACGAGTCTTCTTTTGAGTGTTTGTCAGATTATGCGGGATCCAACGCGAACAAATTTTTTTTACTGACAAATTTTCATGCAATATCTTATTAATGCTTGTCATAATAATGCCCAAAGATTCCTCAATTTCACGATATGTCACATGACGATCCTTCTTTATCAGTTCACACACAGTATCGATATTTTCTGGCACAACAACCGATTTTGGACGACCTTCAGGGAATTCGTCCTGGAGCGAACGTCGGCCACGATTGAATTCGTTTTACCAGTTTTTTACAGTGCTGTAGGATGGTGCTTTCTCGATGTATAAAGAATTAAGTTCATCGATGCACTCTTGTTTTGATAATCCACGTCGAAAATTATGAAAAATAATCGCACGAAAATGTTCACGAGTTAATTCCATTTTTTGCCCAACATAAATTTTTCAATTCACTGTAAACAATACAAACCGCGCTCAAATAACAATGTGTTCTTATGTTCTTATGTTCAACAAGGTCAAGTTTCCAATGACAACGTCAGATGGCGCCTGGCAACATTTACTGCTACCAAGGTCAGAAATATAAATAGCTACCTTCGTATATATGTTCGCTGGCTCATTGATCTTGTTGGTTCTGTATCAGTTATATATTTAATTTGTTATATACTGTGGGTTGTTTTGTATATGTAAAATAACGAGATGCGGTAATATTATAGCGCTGGTCAAATGCGTCTAAATACCTTTTCTATGGTATCGCAAGAATAGCTGTTTTATGAACGCTAAGAAACATGGCACATTGATTGACAAATTTTGAATTATTTGGGACAAATTTGTGGACATGATGAATAAGTGCGCATTTATCGGCAGGCATACGAATAGCAGCACAATGATCAACGTTGACCAAAATATCAAGTTCGAGATATATCGTTTTGCTCGTGAAGTCTTGATCGGTTCAGGCCAGACACCCAGAAACCACATATTGTATTTGCTCCAACCCATCGCAAAATGCATCGAATCCATTTCCGGCAAGTAATAGCTCAAGATTATATCAGGCGATTTGTAATCTTATCTTCGCGCTGGCTACCAATAATCACTTCATCATTGAACGTATATCAATGTACGTTTTACTTCTTCTTTCTATTAGTTATATATGATGTTAATAGCAAGAACAGAACAAAAATAACAGGAGAAGCAATGAGACGAAATTATAGACATAACAACGTTTAAATGCAATTCAGAAACGATAAATATCGCGAAAATAAACTTCGCCGACTGTGTTTGATAAAAAACAACAAACATATAACCCAAAGCCTTTTTTCGACACTGCTGTAACCTCGTTGTTTCTACAACTGACCATTTTCTGTGAAATCACCTCAATGGGTTGCTCATTACGCATGCTCGTTGTCAATACAGAAGAGTACTGAGATTGCCTACAGGAAAGTTTTCATCGTCGATTCAGACCGACGGAATAATTTAGACATACATATAGGCAAGGACGTGTCTTCTGTTTCTCCAGATATATCATCTAGAACACTTGCGCCCTTTGAAGGATTAAAGTTCTGAATTGCGGAAACTGTTTTGTGTTATTTTCACTTGTACTTATTGCAATAACGTAGAGTTGACTCGTATACGAAAAAATGTCAATACGTTTCCTCGCGAATATACGTGAGAGAGAGAGAGAGAGAGAGAGAGAGAGAGAGAGAGAGAGAGAGAGAGAGAAGGAAATTTAATGATATAAAATTGTTCAACTATAACTGTTACATGAATATTATTATCGTAATTACGACAGATATTATCTGAGGTCAGGAATCATACTTTACTATCGGTTACGGTTAGTAATACCGAGAGGTAACCGATTAAAGTTTTCACGATCTGAAATGCGATAATAAAATACGATAATAAAATTCGATGCGAAATACAAAAAGGCGAAATGCAATACAAGATGTTATGTGTGCATAACATGCGCTCATTCGCGATATCCTTCACGTGTGGATATTGGATGTTGAATCAAAAAATAAAAAACTATTTTGAAAATTGATTGAATCTTACATAAAAATGCTTCGTGACCTTTTACTGATTTCAATCGAAAAAATCATTTTTAAAATGAAATTTTTAATTTTCGGTACAGAAAGAAGATATCGAATTGTTAAACGAATTTGTTCAATATTTATATCATGCACGTTTTCAATTTCAGTCGTGGTAATTAAATGGAGTAATGTAGTGATTATAACTTATTTTGAATAACGTTTCGATTAACATAATGAGTATTTATCTTACTAAACATTTGCAAAGAGAATACACCGAACTTGCCCGCAGTCAAATAAAGCGGCGCTGTCGATCTGCGCATGATAAACAAAAGGTTTCTCTCATCTTTTCCTGGTACGTTAAACCAGTTGGATTCATATGCTGTGAATCCCATCTCGATACTCTTAATAACTAAATATAATTATTGAGTTAATTGTAAATTCGTTTGACATATTTCCTTTTTCAATTAATAGGATGGGTATAAATCGGTTACATTCTATGATAAATATATGCAAATATTGCTGAAACGTTGGTGAAATATCGTATACAACAGCTTGTAAGAAATTAGGTCCCACTTTTCGAATTTATTTATTTTGACAGCTGTGCTGATTTGTGCTAAGTTTGTGCTATATTGTGCTCGAATGATAAACTTATAATATGAAAAATGTGCGAGAGAAATGAAAAAAATATTTTTTGCCAACTCTCCACTTTTCGATATTTGAAATGTTTTTAATTATGCTAAGTTGTGCTGAGTTGTGTTAATATTATGCTAAAGTAATACTTTCAAAAAATAATAATGAAAGAAATAAAACGAAAAAAAACGATTTTGGCTAATTGGAACAAAATTAAGGTTTACTTTCGTATTTTTTAACCAAACGATATCAAATTGCATATCTGATTTATGAAAGCATAGCACAAGTCAGCACAAATTTCAGTTTCTCTGGTACAAGGATATTAAGGGTACTTTACTATTATTCGCAGCTTTTCACGCTAGCAGTTTATGTCCATAATCACGATTTCTAGACTTCATATCAAAGTAAAATTGTACATCTGAGTTGTTCTGGCTTAACACAAATCAGCATAATGCTCAAATACAGACTGACACAAAAATATTAAGGGCCCTTTACTCTTAAAACCGGCCCTTCGCGTTCGCAGTCTATGTCCATAATTCTGCGATGGCACGAAATATAGAAATTATGGTTATGGACATAGACAGAAAGCATGAAGAGCCGCGTTCAAGAGTAAAGTGCCTTTTAAATTTTTGTGCTATCGAAACTGAAACTTGTGCCAATTTGTGCTGAAACGTGTGCACAACTAAGCACTATTAAAAAAATTGCAAAGATCGAAAAATGGAGAATTGAAAACAAAATTTTTTTACATTTTTCTGGCACATTATTCATATTACAAGTTTATCATTCGAGCACAGTATAGCATAAATCTAACACAAATTGACACAACAATCAAAAGAAATAAATTCGAAAAGTGGGGACCTAACTTCTTAAAGGCCGTTGTATACGATTTCCCAAAATCGTTTTTTTCTTGTTTTATTTCTTCTATTATTATTTTTCGAAAGATACTACATTAACAAAATGTTAACATAACTTAGCACAACCTAGCACAATTAAAAAAATTACAATAATGAAAAAGTGATAGGCTGTTAAAAAAACCGTTTTTTTTTTACATTTTTCTTACGCATTTTTCATATTACAAGTTTATCATTCGGGCACAATGTAGCATGAAGCTAGCATAAATCAGCATAACTGTTAAATAAATTCGAAAAATGAGGGGCTAATATCTTACAGGCTAAACAACGATGACAATATTTTAATGAATAATTTGCTGCCATTGAGTACAATAAAATCAGATTTAATTAAAATATCAAACCGAACTTTTGATCAAAAATTGAATATATTTAATGCATAAAAATATTATCTGCATTTTTGTTTTCACAATCCATTTTTAATGTTGAAAAAACGAAAAAATATCACAATTATTTATTATTAACCGACAAATTAAAATAATTATCACATTCTGAATTCATATTTCTATTGCATAGATATATATTTTTTTATTCCGTTATATCGTTGCTCTCGCAAATCAATACAGTGATCGATTATATCACTCTGACTATATCACACAAAGAAAGATAGGAAATGATAAAAAACATCGATCCGCAGAGAGTTGTGCACACCCGGGTTCACAAGTCGATAATTGATTCTGTATCAGTAATTGATTTTTTGGACCATTCGATTTGATAATTACGAGATTTCTCATTGATGCAAAGGAGAGTAGACGATATATTTACAACAGATCCACTTGATATTTTATTGACCCCTTTATTGTCAGTGACACATATATGCGCGAAAAATGTCGTGTCACTTTTTATGACATGTTATATACGCGCATCTTGAGAAAGACATATTTATGAGAATAGTTTGAAGAGTAACTTGGTCCAAGTACTCACAGAAGGCATGAGTAACAACTATATATGTGATCATATACGAAGGTAGTTTGAAAAGATTGGTAAAAAGGCAAATGAAATATATTAGTTTTCAAGCTTTTATGGCTACTGTGCGCACGTGGTCTTGTCTTTTGAGAGCGAAAGGAGCATTCAAAATAACACAACAGCGAATTAACAATAACACAATTAATCTTCAGTTTATTTTTTCTTTAAAAAGACACAACACACGCGTGAGAGTTCCGCGACGCACTCACTCTTAGAAATATTAACAGAACCGAAAGTATAAAGTCTCTTAGAAATATTAACAGAACCGCAAGTATTTACAAAAGTTCTCTCGAGTAATTGTGTAATATAAAAGATAGATCGCAATTGACGACGAGCAATCGACAACGCGTAGCACAAGCATGAATACGTCCTGTCATCGAACTATGCATAAACGTATTGTAATAGATATATAGCAATTGACGACGAGCAATCGACAACGCGCAGTACAAGCACGAATACGTCTTGTTACCGAGCTATGCAGAAACGTACTGTTTTTCGGGACCAGCGGCTCACGAAGATGTTTCGCTTTCTATTGTCTCGCGTTACCAAGACACGAGAATAACATGACCAAATAAAGAAATAACGCGCGTGCCTAGCGATCGCCGACGCGCTGTTGTCGGCTGATCGTAGACAATCGCCTCTTGCGAGCGACAACACGGAACACGTGATTCGCACGCATCACGGCTGTATTGAGTGACTCGCAACAGCTGTCGATACAATCTAATTGCGTTGCTTCCTATGCCGCGAATCAGCGTTCTGTCAACGTTTCGCAAACATTGCAGTTTGCATCATTAGGGCTTGGAGTTCTGATACTAAGCCCTCTTGGGTATTGGTTGTCTTTATATACTTTCTATTCCTTTCTATACTTCTTTATCCTTAGGGAGTAGGTAAGTGGAAAAGGGGAAGAGGAGATTGGTTCCAGCCAATCAGCGTGTTCTTTATTAATTAACCGGCCAATTAAAAAACCGGGAAGGCAATATGACAAATAGGATTCACTTGCATCTTGTCTCAGTTGGGGTTGTTAGGATGTTTTAAAATTTCCAAGTCTTCACGATGTTTTCTGGCGAAGTAGCCTTGTGGAGCCAGTATAGAAGCCGGTATAGTAGCCTTATCATATTGTACGGAATGTTCAGTTTCCATCCAGTATTCTACTAGGGCTGGTTGAGAAAAGTGATCATATTTGATTACTTTCTTCACTACCTCACTTTGGTGTACCGCTGGTGTTTCTTGATCCGTGTACTGATTTTCCTCTCAGTTTCTCCTATATACACTTTTCCACAGGAGCATAAAAAGTGAAACACATTATTTTGGGAAAAATAAATTTTATTTTTCAACATTATCCACTTTGAAGGCTACACACAAAGTCCAGCGATTCTTCAATTTTTTCATTCAATCAAAAAAATATGTTTTGTCAAGCTCTGAAAATAATCATTGATGGCGGCGATAGCATCCTGATTGGGCGAACATTTTTCGCTTCAAG